GTTAGGCAACTTAATCACTTTAAATATTATTAGGTAATTTACCTTTGATTTTTTTTCTGTAAATAGTTAATATACTAGTAAATATTATCCAATAAATAATTAATATCCGAATAACAATATTATTTTCTCAAATTTATATATTTACATTTTCTATTTTATGACATAAAAATGACATATACACAAAACAAAGACAGACGATTGGTCAATCAGTGTCAAAGACAAAGATAATCAGATAGTCGAATGTCGCTGATGTGTCTTCAACAAAAATTAAGCGAATTTACTTATCCACGAAGTTTATAAGATCTAAGGCCAAAAATAAGCTTTTTACGTCAAGCAGTTTAAGCAGAATCGTGGTTAAGAAATTACCCAACTTTTGGAACACCCTGTATGATTTTTAAAAAATTCAAAATATGTAAAAAAAAAACAAATAAATTATGCTTGCCCAAGCGTTTTCCCGAAATTTAAATAACAAATATTGTAATATTTGAGGGGAGTTTTCACCCTCTTGGAATTTGAGAGTCGAGAAGCCCCTCCTTATCGAACCTCTACACCCCACAGTCAATCCGTTTGCCAAAAATCAGCTTTAAACGTCAAGCAGTTTAAGCAGAATCGTGATTACTCAATGGTCATATTTTATGAAACACCCTGTATAAATTTATAAAAATCTTAAAATATGTAAAACAACAAAATAAAATATACGTGTTTAAGAGTTTTTCCGAAAAACTCACCGGTTTTTAAATAAAAAATATTTTAATATTTGAGGGATAGTTTCACCCCCTTAGAATTCGAGTTTTGAAAAATCCCTTCTTATAACCTCTACACCATAAAGTCAATCTGTTTTCCAAAAATCAGCTTTTTACGTCAAGCGCTTTAAACAGGATCGTGATTAATCAATGACCAGATTTTTCGAAACACCCTGTATACATTTTTAAAAAATCTTAAATTATGTAAAAAAAAATAAAGTATACGTGTTTAAGCGTTTTTTCGGAAACTTGACCTTTTTTTAAATAAAAAATATTGTAATATTTGAGGGGTGGTTTCACCCTCTTGGAACTGGAATTTCGAAAAATCCCTTCTTATCGAACCTGTATGCCAAAATTGAGCTTCTTACGTTGAGTGGTTTGAGCAGGATCGTGATTAATCAGTATGTCAGTCACTTAAGGATTTTATACAGGGTGTCCCAGAAATGAGTGCAGATATTTTAAGGGGTGGTAGATCTGGTCAAAACAAACATATTTTCTCTTTACCATTTTTAAAATAAATTGAAAGTAACCGAGTTATTTAACTTTGAAAATTTAAAAAAATAATCGCAACATTTTGAGACCGCCGGCAGATATCGCCAACTACATCCAATTACCCGGATTTCAGTTAATTCGACGCACTGTGTTGCCATAGGGACAAGAAAGTATATGTTAAAAGTAAGTCATAAAATCACAACACCTGAGGAGTTTGCAGAGATGCATTACATTTTTAAGATTGTGATATTATTACATAAAATAAATTAAAAGTTAAATGTTTAATAATGTGTTAAAAATGTGTTAAAAAAGTTAAATTAAAAAACTTACCCAACATTAAAAAAGATACTTATGACAGATCGATGTAACTATGACAGTTCTCTTTTTCGATATACACTTAACTAAAATACACTTCACTGTGCTGCTGTACTTGTACATGCTATTATAATAACTACTAAAATAACAGTCCCCGTTTTTAACACATTATTTTCATATAGGCCTCATCACAATTTGAACCACTGATTTACAAAACACCTTGAAAAGCACACATTACTTTGAATACCTTTCTGAATGAATAAATGTTGAGAATTATTGTCTCTTGCCGCCACTTTCCGAACTATTTTCAATCTAAGAAAATACATGTTTCACTCAACAAGTTTAAATACGTATTTTGTTTTTTCGCTATTTTTTCTATGTATTTCAACAATTCCATGGACAGCCCAACAGTCGCGTCGGCCGTTGGCCAAGAGAGCGGCGCATCACTGGTAACTGCTCCTTTGTCGCGCCGCCGCCGCCGTGTCGAGCTTGCGTCATGCGAGGTTGCCGTAGTTTCAACAATTTCAAATTCAAGACACTCGAAGCAATCAAATTCTTATTAAATTTTAAAAATAAAACAGAAAAACATGAAAGGAAACAAACAAAACACAAATGAATTGGTTATTGATAAGGTCACAAAAAGAAATTTCTAAAATGTTTATCGTAATTCAGAATTCAATACATCGAAAACAGCCCGACGAATAATCAATTCATTTTTTTTGCTTATTTCCTTTCATGTTTCTCTGTTTTATTTTTAAAATTTAATACGAATTTGATTGCTTCGAATGTCTTGAATTTGAAATTGTTGTAACTACGGCAACGTTGCTTAACATCGTCGTCTGATGCAAGCCCGCCACGACGGCGCGGCGACCGGCGACTCAAAGGACCAGTTCACACGCGGCAGTTCTTGGCTGACGGTTAGGCTGTCGATGGAATTGTCGAAATACATCGAAAAAATAGCGAAAAAACAAAATACGTTGTCAATAATTGTTGAGTGAAACATGTATTTTCTTAGATTGAAAGTAGTTCGTAAAGTGGCGATAAGAGACAATAATTCTCAACATTTATTCCACGGCACATAAAACAATCGGCACGCCAACTCTGCTCAGATTCCATTGTTTAAAATTTCTATAAAATTTGACCTTGACAGCGCCATTATCGTTTCCTAGTCAGGGCCGGATTAAAACGTATCAAAAAATTTCTCAGAAAATACGACAGGGTCGTATTAAAAAATACTGTAATTGACTGAAACTGAATTTTATTTACACAATACTTTTGTCCAACAAATGAATCGTTAACCGCGCATACTTCTCGAAAAGTAAAAATGAAAAAATCAATTAAATATTTCACTGTAGAGAATAGACAATTAAAATTAAGAAACATGCAACTAACGAAAACCTGCCAGGAGTTACAAACAAGAATTAAAGAAATACCAATAAAATATTTATTGAACAATATAAAGATGCTACGTACAAATTATGCCCATCAATGGGCATAGCAAATTTTATTAATATTCAAATTTCACAAATTAATAAATCCACAATTTTTTTGAGAAACTTCTATTTTTTTCATGGCAGGAAACAAAGTAGGTACCGCATTGTATTTTATACGGTTACAAAGTGAATTGGTAAACATTTTAAATTCAAAAGGAACAGAACGCAACTTGTACCTTTCGTGGGCCTTATTTATATCTTCAATCAAGTCTTCTCTATTAGATGCAATTGCCCATGTTCTTGCCCTAAAAATGTATTGTTAACTTATTTTCGATATACTCCTTTTATTTAGTTTTATAATTATATTTAAATTAATAGTATAATGATTTTTAAATTTAATTTTTAATGTCTAGATACAACATTAAATTTTACTAAATATTTAACATTAAATCTTACTAATATTAAAGTTTGTTAAGATTTTTAATTAGATCTTCCTATTTAGCTGAATGTCCTAATATGTATACTACTGTTTTTTTTCACAACTAAAATATGTTAAAATAATTAATCACATATATACATACCTAATAGGATCTCTAGGAAACAGAAAGAAACTTTTATTGAACAACAAAAATAAAACTACTAAAACAAATTATATTACATAATAATAATAATAGATCCCGTATATAGCGTTTGACGCCTTGGGAGTAGCAAGGTACAGCTTGCCATACTAGAGCCGTTCGGTATACAAAGGAAGGTAATGTGGCTAGCACTATTACCTCAGGATTGTGAATCCCAAGTACTCATTTAAGGCTGAGTCGACCTAGGTACCCAAACTATTTTTATTTTAATAAAAATTGTCGGCTGATGAAATGCCGGGTGGGATTCGAACCCACTACCTTGAGATTGGTAGACGAGAGCCTGTACCTCTGCGCCACCGGGCACCTATTGGCAATTATATTACATAAGATAATAAAGATAATAAAACTAGAAAAACCAAATATATCACATAATAAACAAAAATAAAACAACAAAAACAAAATATATAACTCAAGAAAAAATCAAAATAAATTAAGCCGCACGCTACTGACTCGAATCTGCCGTAACTGTGTGTTGTCGCTGAAAAAACTACGACACTGGTTACTTTCTGTTGATGGAAACGCAAATGGCGGCGTGCGCGAGGATATGCGCGTAGCGTTCCCGCCAAAGCGAGTCGGCCTGCCGTGTGATTTATATGCCGTGATTTATTCATTCAGAAAGGTATTCAAAGTAATGTGCGCTTTTCAAGGTGTGTAAAACAGTGGTTCAAATAAAACAGAGAAACATGAAAGAAAACAAACAAAACAAAAATGAATCGATTATTCGTTGGGCTGTTTTCTAAATTTCTTGAATTAAATTCTAAATTACGATAAACATTTTCGGAATTTCTTTTTGTGACCTGATTGTGAATAATATGAATCATTTTATTAAATTTATTCCAAAATAAAGTTATTTTGCAGCATAACAAAGATTTTCGTAAACGTCATAGACGTAATGTTTTAGTTAGTTTTCGGTGGTTTTTGTTAAGTTTTCATTGAAAGGGTAAGTACTAAAAATAATTAATGTGTTTTTTTTCTATAATTATTAATAATGAGCACTGATAAAAGATTAAATCTAACATTCCTAATTTTTTGAGTAGACATTTGTCTATGAATTTATAAATGTAGAACTATGTTCCGCCGAACTATGTAGAATGTGGATAACATAGGAGGTTGCAACACTGCAAGGTTTAGATACACCGTAGGGAAATCTCAGGTGAATAAACAAGTGGCACTAAAAAGTTTTTTCAAATTTCCCGGAAAATGTCAAGAAAAATTTTAAATTTTCAACATTTTTTTTTCGCAAAAAAAACCTCATACGCTTGTTTCTGGGGTTGAACTATACTACCAGTTAAAATATTTGCACTTATTTCTGGGATACCCTGTATATTAGTATAGATTAAATTCAATCATCCTAATATATGTGTTTTTAAATTATCTAGATCCATACAAATATGTTAGATAAAAAAATTAAATTGGCAACATGTTCAGGAAATATAAGCTCTAAAATCGAAGAACCTACAAGTAAACGTGTTAAATCTCCAACTCGTCAGAGAAACTCAAGTAACACTCAACTCGTCAGTAACAATTCAGAAGGAAGTGGTCAAAACCATAATATAATTCATGCTACAGATGAAGCCAAAAAGAGACATGCAGTGTTTGAAGGATGGGTGAAAATACCATGGTAAGTATAAAATTAGAGCCGGCCCATCCAAAGAATTAATTATGACAGTAACAGTAAATTTTAATTCAAAAGTAGATTGTTTTTCTGTTATTTTTTGTCTTATGACGTATTCAGGGTGCTACAAATTCGGGGTACGAGGATTAGTATCTTGGAAACCGTAACAGATACAAAGATAGTTAAATTGGGGCAAAGTTGCGCCTTCGGATGTTCACCAAGACGCCATCAAAAAAGTTTTAAAATTTTAAAGATTGCTGGGTTTTTTGGAAAAAATGTTTTTTTTTTGAAAATCAATTTTATTTTTTCCTATCGTTACTTTTTAGAAAATCAAAAAACTAATTGCACATTCTCATAGCCATTTATTTTTCGTTCAATTTTATTTATAGCTCTTTCAACAGATCTTCTTATACTTCCGAATGCATTTTGTACTCTTTATTGTAAATGCTGAGGTGTATGAAACCAATACATTGATTTCATACATCTTAACTACGCATACAACATAGATTACAGTTGAGGGTTGGAACCTTTGGTGTTACACAGCAAAATAAAAACACTAAATCAACACAATACACCAAAACACTTTTACTTTTACACTGGACGCGCGTTTCGCTAACCATGTTAGCATCATCATCAGATGATTATAAACTGAACAACAATATAACAGTTTATAATCATCTGCTGATGATGCTAACATGGTTAGCGAAACGCGCGTCCAGTGTAAAAGTAAAAGTGTTTTGGTGTATTGTGGTGATTTAGTGTTTTATTTTGCTGTGTAACACCAAAGGTTCCAACCCCCAACTGTAATTTAAGAATGATGTCAAGTAATGCCCCCCCCCCCACTCCCTGTATACGTTATACTTGATACATATTTTATAATTTATTTTTTTATACAGTTCTAAGGCAAGAACGTGGAATAAACGATATGCCCGTCTTACTGAATCATCGTTGGATGTTTTTAATTTAAACCCAAAAGAACCAAGCTCTTCCCTTTTGGAATCTTTTCAACTGACTTCTGATGATAGCTATGGGAAGGTAAACTATTTTTAATATGCAAAATGTACCGACATTTAGAAATCTGGGATTAATTTTAGATGATTTCCGAACCTCTCATATCTGAAATTGATATACCAGTAGCTGCTAGTGATCTTCCATTTATATTAAAAATTGAAGTATGTCCTAACACGACTTGTTGGCCCTCAAAGAGTATGACTTTGATGGTGTCAAGTGCCAAAGAAAAAGATGACTGGATTAAAGGTAGTAATATTTAATCAATTTGCAAAGGTGTATTAAAAATACTAGAAAAAGTTGTGTGAGAAGAACTATAATATATTTATTAATAATTAGTATTTTTATACCTAACAGAAATTATTTTAAAACATTGTTTATATCCAGCTCTGCAGAATTCTATGGTGTTAAAACAAGAAAATACGAAGTTTGGGACCATATTAGAATTGCCAAATGATCTAGTAGTAAATTGTATTGTTGATTTGACAGAAGCCATAAAACTACTGGGCACAGACAAAGGCTTATATTCATATTATGAAAATAAATTGTGTTTCATTGATGGTCTTAAAAAAATTGAACAGGTTAGTGTATTGCAAGAAATTCCCGATTATTATAATGTAAAACTTTTATTTTAGATTGTTCTTTTTGCACCATGCAACGCAGTGCTTATGATTGCCGGATTGAAAGCCGAATTGGTGTTGTGTGACATAAATCATATAATAAACTTAGCACAGTGCGGCCCTAGTATTAGGCCGTTTTTAAAGCATAAAGTTATAAATATAAAAAATTTAAACGGATTTCACATTATACAAGTAAGTTAAAAATAGTGACTTCGATCAAAGAATATGCGACTCTGTAATTCATCTACCGTATGATCGAAAAAAACTGAAATGCATCAATCGTGTTGCTGATTTTATCAAATCATTGCCGAATAATAGTATATTCTCAAAAAATAGTTTGGTGACAAAATAAGTTTGGACTTGAATATATTTATTTATTAAAAATATACGTACTTTTTAGGTATCCAAGCATTCTCAGCAAGTGAAAATTGCCGTAGCTATATCAAAACAGCTAATTATTCTCGAGTATTCCTTTGATACCACAGAATTTATTCCAATTTGGGCGTTCGATACAGCACAGCCTACAAGTTGTTTACTTTTTACAGAACACAGCCTAATAGTTGGCGCGGATAAATTCTTTGAAATAGACTTAAATTCCTTTAAAGCTGAAGAATTTTTAGACGTGTCTGATACAAAACTGAAGCAAGTGTTAAAATGTTATAAAATTGGTAGCTTTCCCATAAGCATTTTAGAAATCTCTAACAATCCAAAAGAATATTTGGTATCGTTCAACGAGTTTTCTGTGTTTGTGGATGAATATGGGCGCTCCAGTAGACAAAAAGAACTAAAGTCTAATCATATACCTCTAGCATTACAGTTAATTAAGAATTACCTGTATATAATTCAATTTGCGGCTGTAGAGGTTTTAAAAATTACAGAAAATAGTTGTAATTCAGATTTTCTAGAGCCTTACAGACTGGATATGTTAAGATTTAGGTATATAGGTTCCAACAGGAAAGGTGTTTTTCTGGAACAGGATCATCGTATATTGTTTTTAAATGCCAGAAACTTGCCCGATTATGACGCTGCCTCTATTATTTCTACGGAGACCGGGTCTGATGCCGAAAATGATTCGAATGATAGTCGTTTTAGCTTTACTAGTTCTATAGTACAAAGTTTGGATGGACACTTAAGCGATTCAGCAAATTCGGATAGATCTCAAACAATGAAGAGAAAGGTAAAATTTGATCAGACGGATTTATAAGAGAATCTATTAGTATATAACAAAATGGTCATGAATTTTGAAATGGTACTTCTCCAAAGAAATAATTTATCTTCGTATATTTATGTTTATTATTGTGTTTGTGTTTTAACTGTACTTAACTATAAATATTTAAATTTTGTAATTTATGAATAATTATTTTTCTCATACTATACTTGGTAAAATAAAATACTTTTTTTACTTTAATATATATTTAATTCTATAGTTCCTGTAGTGATCCGATATTTTTGCAAATAGGTATAAATAATTAAAAATAATTATTTAAATACAAGGTCAAGCTTCATTTAAAATCTACAAAGTCCGGTAAGTAAAAATTCTAGAAAAATCTCAGGGACCGTCGAACGCTGGCCTCATTTTGAGGTCAGAAAACAAAATTCCTTATTCTTATTAGAAAAAATGCTCCAATTAAAACGCACGTAGCATTTTAAAAAACGGTGGGGACAACAGATTAATCGAGAGTAGTGGCAAAATTTTACATATAAATACGGGTCCAGAAATTCATAAAGGTAGTCTTTGGGCAAATATCAGTTTCAAAAAAATGTTTTTTTTTGAAAATCGATTTTATTTTTTCCTATCGTTACTTTTTAGAAAATCAAAAAACTAATTGCACATTCTCATAGCCATTTATTTTTCGTTCAATTTTATTTATAGCTCTTTGAACAGATCTTCTTATACTTCCGAATGCGTTTTGTACTCTATTGTAAATGCTGAGGTGTATGAGACCAATACATTGATTTCATACATCTTAACTACGCATACATCATACTTTTAAAAATGATAGCAAAATAAAACACTAAATCCGCGTCCAGTGTAAAAGTAAAAGTGTTTTGGTGTATTGTGGTGATTTAGTGTTTTATTTTGCTGTGTAACACCAAAGGTTCCAACCCCCAACTGTAATTTAAAAATGATGTCAAGTAAAGCCCCCACCCCACACCCTGTATACGTTATACTTGATACATATTGTATCATTTATATTTTTATACAGTTCTAAGGCAAGAACGTGGAATAAACGATACGCCCGTTTTACTGAATCATCGTTGGATGTTTTTAATTTAAACCCAAAAGAACTAAGCTCTTCCCTTTTGGAATCTTTTCAACTGACTTCTGATGATAGCTATGGGAAGGTAAACTATTTTTAATGTGCAAAATGTACCGACATTTAGAAATCTGGGATTAATTTTAGATGATTTCCGAACCTCATGTCTGAAATTGATATACCAGTAGCTGCTAGTGATCTTCCATTTATATTAAAGATTGAAGTATGTCCTAACACGACTTGTTGGCCCTCAAAGAGTATGACTTTGATGGTGTCAAGTGCCTCCTCCAATTAAAACGCACGTAGCATCTTAAAAAACGGTGGGACAATAGCTTCATCGAGAGTAGTGGCAAAATTTTACATATAAATACGGGTCCAGAAGTTCATAAAGGTTTGGCAAGGTTCGCAACCCTAATTTGTGGTACGGAAATTGTTTTTTATGACGATGAGCAAACGACTAAATTTTCTTGTGCGCAAAAATAAACTCCCGTTTAAACAGCGTAATAACTGGGCCGGTCGCAAGGCCGGTCAGGCGCTGTGCACAATTTTAGAGGCCATAAGTGGGCGTGCTTGTGCGCAAACTAGTAACCAAACTTTTTTTTTTTTTAAATGCCTTTATTGTCAAAAAAATTTTCAATTTGTAGACAAAGGTAAACTAACAAACAAAGTAAAAAAACAAGGTACACAAACAAACAAACAAAAGATAATACAAAACATTATACAAACAATATTGTCAGTCTTATTGTTAAAATAAACATTTATAAATGTTTACAATGTCAAAGAACAAAAAAATAAAAATAATATTCATAAATATTTAACTAGTTTATAGTAAAATATCAGTGACCTCTAAATAAATTCATTTCGATATCATTAGTAAATATAGCAATAGCAAACATTAGACCAGTGTTTACAAGATCAAATTCGATTTTCAAAATATAATTCATTTACGGCGTAGAAACCCTTGTCTAGTAAATAAGAGTTCAATGCTCTGCGAAATGAAAAAAATGATGTTATGGATTTGATTTCAAATGGCAGGTGATTGTGCATTTTTTTCGAGTTGTATAATATTGAACTTTTAACTAACTCTGAGCGTGGGGTAGGTAGATAAAGATCTAGCTCCGCGTTCCTGAGTGGATAAGTGTGAGATGGCCTTTCTTGAGAAGCTGATACATGTTTACGTATTAGGCAAACGGATTCAAATATAAATAAGGAAGGAAGAGTCAATATTTTTAATTCTTTAAAAAAGTCCCGGCAATGAGTTCTGCTGTTTAGTCCCGGTGAATATCGAACAGCTCTCTTCTGGAGTTTGAAAATGCGGTCAAATTGAGTCGCACAACACGTACCCCAGAATGGAAGGGCATACCTGAGGTGCGACTCAAAAAGTGCATAATAAACAGTTCTAGCCACTGACAAGTTAGGCTCCTTAGAAACAGACCTTAATGCAAAACAGGCAGAGCTCAATTTTTTCGACAAAGCTTCGATATGTATGTCCCATTTCAGAGAATTGTCCACAACAAGCCCCAAGATCTTTACAGATTTGACGACGTCAATGGTGGTGTTGTTAAGTACAAAAGGCTGCAACGAGTTTTTATACGACAAAGCTTTAGTTTTAGAAATGTTGAGACTCAGGCGGTTCGAATCGCACCAAGATTTAATGGTGATTAAGTCATTTGATATAATCCTATGAAGTGCCGTGATGTCCTTGTTGCTCCAAGTGAAGCTAGTGTCGTCCGCAAAAAGACATATTTTGCCACTGATGTTTATGTTAACAATGTCGTTAATAAAAAGAAGAAACAAAATAGGGCCTAGTACTGAGCCTTGTGGTACTCCGCATTCTATTGGCTTGCTAGAAGACAACGTGGTATCCACCCTCACAAGTTGACTTCTGTTGCTCAGATACGATTTAAACCATTCGAGAGATGATCCCCTGAACCCATAGTGCTGCAGTTTATTAATTAAGATCTTATGATTTACACAATCGAACGCCTTAGAAAAATCACAGAAAATTGTTGCTGTAGAATGATGGTTCTTTAGGCTGGAGTAAACTTTATTAAGGAGGGAAAACATAGCGTCATTTGTGGACTTGTTGCTTAGAAATCCAAATTGATATTCACTAAGTATTTTGTACTTAAACAGAAAAGATACCAGCCTTATTTTAACCAACCTTTCTATGATCTTAGATAGCGTTGGAAGGAGTGCAATTGGGCGATAGTTATAAGCTTCATCTTTGTCTTCTCCTTTATGCAGAGGAATGATTATTGCCGTCTTAAGACATTTTGGAAAAATACCATTTTGGAACGATATGTTTATTAAAGTTGTTAGGTGATTCATAGTGCTTTCTGGCAGATTCGAAAACATTTTTAAAGTTAGCCCGTCGGTCCCAGAAGAGGATTTATTTTTGATGGTATTAATTGTACTGCGAAGCTCTTATAAAACTACGAGCGAAAAAAGAAACTGTTAAGTTTACATTATCATTAGAGAGATAAGAAAGTGGATCATGAGGACATATATGGTGTTAGTTAAGTTTTTCGCTACATTTACAAAGTAATCGTTAAGGTTCTCAGGTGAGGTAGAGATATTGCTAGACGAAGAAAAGCTTTGTTTCTCAATTCATTCACAATAGACCATGTTTCTTTAGCAACATTACCAGAATTGACTATTCTCCTATTATAATAAAGGTCCATAAGCGGCTCTTATAGTCTTATGATAAATTTTTCTGTATAGTTTTACCCTTTTACGTAATTGTGGAAGAAGAGACTGTCCGAGAATTTTTTTAAGTGAGATAATGAACGCATGTTTTTAGAAGATATGCGTAGACCTTTAGTGATCCAAGGTTTATTATGCTTATTTTTTATAGGCCTAAGAGGAAAGGATTTGAACGCTAGACTGGTTAATGTTTTTATGAAAATAGAAAATTCAGTGTCGACATCATAAGAGCTAGTATCCCAGTTGGTTGTTTTATATAAGTGTCTGAACTTTTGAGCATTCTTTTCTGAAAAAATACGGCATAATTTACGAGGGGCATTTTTGATTTTGGACTTTATCGAAAATTCAGTTAAAACTGCTTCATGATCAGAGAGACCCGAGCTAAAGACGTTGCAGGCGATGGAGTTAGGATCCAAAGATGACACAACATAGTCTATAGTACTAGAACTGGTACTGGATATTCTGGTAGGTGAGCCTACATGCATGGCTATTCCAAAAGAATCAAAAATGGACTGAAGAAACTCCTGAGCAGCACATACACTAAGAAAGTCAATATTAAGTTCACCACACAAAATTAATTGGCTTTTTAAGGGCAGGGACTCAAGCAAGCTTAGTAGATTATGACAGAATAATTGCACGTCAGAGTCAGGTGTTCTATAAATACAAATAATGTAAAGATCATAAGCATTATGGTGGACAATGGAAAATTCGAATACTTTTTCAGATAACAAAACATTGTACCTAGTTACCTCGGAAAAGTCGTTTAAAGACATTATCATAGTACCTCCATGAGAAAAATTTGTTCTATTAAATCTAGCCACTGTGGTATAATTTTTAACAAACACAGGCTCATCAAAATTTAACCAGTGCTCAGTTATGGCAATGATATCTGGAAATTCAAGTTCTTCTAGTAAAATATATAATTCATCTGTTTTATGTCTTAAGGACTGAATATTAATAAGAAATAGACCAAACTTGCTATCGCTTAACTTTTCAGAGGGTGCTTGATCATCTGTTCGCGTCAATTCAACTAAAAATTTTTACTCTTATTTGGGGAGCCACTGGAATAATTCCATGACCTTTCCCTATATTTTGAAGTCTTTAGAGGTCTCCGCAGAAAAGAGATGACCTTGAAAGCTTGAAAATCTGCGATCAACTTCAGTTGAACCAATACCATAGGCGTTGTGGAAATGGTAGTACAACTTACGCACGGAGTCCAGTTCACTAGGTAGTCCTTCTGATGCAAGCATCAATTTGATGCTGGTAATAGTGTGTCCTTCAAATGAAGATATTGGATTCATAATTAATTTATTTAAATAAACCTCGTTATGGAATATATTCGACTTTAACTGGCTTTTACCCCATTTCCCTGGATTCTCCACTGTAGAAAAGCTACCCGTATTGGCCGAGG